AGCTGATCGTCCGCGCGGACTCGGACGCGGCTCGCGGCGTGATCCACCGAGCGGGTCGCGGGCGTGTGCGACGCCAACAGACGCGCTATCTCTGGCGCCAGCAGGCGCTGAGGGTGTTCAGTTCGAGAACGATCGAGTCGACGGTAAGAAGAACCCGAGTGATGCAGGGGCGAAGGCGCTCGACCAGGAAGCGCTACAGGCCTGCGCGACGAACCTCGGGATCGCGAGAAGGATCGTGGCGGGCTTCGGAAGGGGCGAGGCCAACCATGTCCTAGCGGCACTGTTGCTATGTGCGACGGCTCGGGCCGCAAGCGGATCTGACGTGTGCGAGCCAGACGGAGACCTACGGTGCGATGATCAAAGTGTTTGCGTCGATTATCCTGATCGCCGCGGGCTCTGCGATGGGCGTGCTCTACGAGAAGCACGCGGTGAAGGGGCGCCGTGAGGAACGCCCTGCTGGCGCCCGCCTGTCAGACTCAGGCGTGCAGGCTGAGCCAAACCCCACTCGCTGCTAGGGGAACGGAAGCCAGGCCCCTTGCACGTGCGCCAGGAATCGTACCCAGCCCCGTTTCGTTCCCCAGCCAAAGCATTCGTGGGGTTAGGTCGGCTCCCGCGTGCAGTGCTGACTGAGCTGAGTTGACGTGGGGCTGTTGGCCGCAGCCCACTAAGTGATATGGCTGCAGGCAGCAAGAGGCATACGCACCGGTATAACACGTTTTCAGAGGCATGCTGTGACTTTTCCGGCCCCAGAACGGATCGGAGTGATCGCCCGACGATGCCCTGGGGCCCTCCTGCTTTTCAGGGAAGGAAGTTGCTGACGACAGCTTGCGCCCTCGGGGTGCCGCGCTGAGGATGCGTGCAGACATCCCAGCAACATGCGAGAGATTGCAAGCAGGATGTCCGCAGCCATTGTCTGGTCAAAACATCCGTGCCAGGAGCCATTGCAATCCTTCGCAATTCAGCCAGCATCTGAACGGCAGTTCTTCCCCTCCGATGCAGGGGCGGCCGTTGTCTGTGTTGGCGGTGCCCCTCCATAGAACCAATGCTCTGCAATTCCTCGGCATGGTCCGTGGTCCCGAAAAGAGCCAGAGCCGAAGAACATAATGCCGTATCGCAGCAGCTCAGCAGCCCAGAGGAAATCATGGTGTAATCGCTTCATCCAGGAAGACGCAAACACCGAGGGGCGTCTGTTGTCAAGAAGAGGGCGAGTCGCATCAAAGTTAGCGTGGCCGAATAAACTGCACAACGCCTGGCTATGATTCACGGGGTCATGGGGCCATTGTTGGTGCATCCGTAGTCGTCGCATAAGAAACTCCCAATGCCCCCCCGAACATTCCAGCATTTCAGGACAGCCTGGTTCGAAAGACACGTGGGGTGGGCCCCTTCCCAATCAGCGGCAGCCCCCATCATGGGAATCCCACACAGGGCACTCATTGTTTGGTCCAACCGTTTGTAGTCACTCGGCGCAAGAGCAAACGATTGCCAACCCACTAAGTAAAGCCCCCGGTCCCAATCCGATCAACCGTGTCGTCTTCCATCTAAAGGGGAAATCGATACTCCACACCGCACCAAGACTATGGAAGGACGTTCGCGCAGCACGGGTCCGTAGCGTGATCTCCGTGAGAGCCGACGCCGACATCGTCACATGACGCACCAGGTATCACACATAATCCCGTGGCTTGCCTCCAGTAGCCCCCATGTGCTTCTTTGAGGCGCCGTCGGAAGTATTGGCTGTGGTTCCCAACGAAGAACAGATTGTCCTGCTTCCCCCAATTCTGAGCGTAGCCGCAATCCGAAGGCCGAGCATCCAAGAGACGATCATGGACCTCTTGCTTCCCAGGAAACTCCAACATGTTAGTAGTCCTATCAGTCAGGCAGATTCTGTTTAAGTCATCCGCGTATTTCAGAATGCTCAGGCCGCACCGAAGATGGCCCCAATCAGCAATCATTTCTTTAGCATTCCGATCAGCCCTGAGAAGGCCCCATCCCCAATTCCGAGCAAGTACCTCGAATGACTCGAGATACGCTGATTCTGCATATGGGTCCCCATCAAGTTCCCCTGCTGTGGTTTTGAAACGAGCTCCTCGCCCAGTCGGTCGTACAGGCGCACAACGGCATAAGTGTATCGTTGTTTGCACAATATCCTGTCCTCTTGTTGTGTAATGTGTTCGAGGTGGGAATCCATTGCGTCCCAAGTCGTACTATTAAAGGCATCCGACACATCTCAAAAGTACGTGGCGTGAGTGCGCCCTGCGGCGGGCAATCGCCCAAATGAGTTACAAGACGCGAGGATGGCCTCCTCTCTCCGACGTCCCTTCACAAAGCCGTGGTCCGACAACCAGTCGTTGAGAGTAGCAGGGGTGCACCACGCGTTTCCCCCTAGGCCCTCGCGTGTTGGATTTGTGTAGCCCCACCCCCGCGCTGCGGTGCCAGTATAGTGGAGCAGCCTCGGCCAGCCGCATTCTGGTGAGCCCAACGTAGAGTATGAACCAGAATCCCGCACCTCTTGGGGCATTGTTATCCCACCCAATTCCACCAACTGATTCCCGTCGCCAATTGGGGTAAAGGGCCACGTGCCAGAGCTCGAGAGGGGACGACTCCGAGGGGACCTAGCAACGTTTGGGTGCGTCTCGCACGTACCGTTTGATCCCCTGCACGTCACTTTTCACGCGTTCGTTGAGCTCGTCGTTCGTCCTGGCGTAATCGTACATCTCCCCCTCCCGTGTAGCCCTCCACTCCTCCCAATCAAGCGTAACACAAGACATCCCCCTTTTCGCCACAGGAAGCTTTCACGTGGCAAGCCATTCCTCACAGGATGGGAGGGGATTGGAGCAGAGCCTGCCGTCCCGGCGCTTTGGGCCGAACCTCGTCTTGGCAGCCTGTCGAGAGACCCGCATGGCCTCCGCACATCGTCGGTGTCGCCAGTTTTCCGCAGCCTCGTTCCTGAGGGAGGCTCGGTGGCGTCGTGCGGTTTGGCGTCGGACACACGTGAGCTCGTGGGAGAGTCGCCTGAGTGCGGAATCGATTCGCTCGGCCTCCTCCCCGTAGCTCCTTCCTTACCAGCCCTGCTCATCGTCCATCGTCGTAGCAGGTCCTGTCTGTAGGCACAGTCCACGGCATACGGGGGGGGAGGTGGGGGTCGTTCCTGAAAGTGCTCCTGTCCCGCCGCCATCAGAATTGATTCCAAAGTCTCGAAGATAGCATCTCTAAGAGCGTAGTCCCGTAGGTGGGCGTAGGGTAGGGCACGTAAGGGGTTCTGTAAGCTTTGGAGGTAGTCCAACTGGCGAGTATCTCGGGGGCCCCAAAACGGTGTGGTGACCGCACCGTGCGGTGAGTCGGTGGGGATTCGGGGTCACCGCACGACTTTTTGGGACTCGGGTCCCTCGCCGAGGACGTGTTTGGCGACAGGGGCCTCCGGGGTCCCAAGACCGTGCGGTGACGGACCGTGCGGTGAGGTTTCTTGGGGTTCCGAGGTCACCGCACGGTCTGTCACCGCACTGTTTCGGGACTCCAGAGTATCATAATTCCAAGGTTCCCGCCTCGTCGTCGTCCGTCGTGCGCTGCCGTTGCCGCAGCGTCAGCACGGGGCCAGTGGGAGGTGGTCCCGAGGCGCGGGGCCTCGTATAGCTTGGAGCTTCGTCAAGGGCTCCCACGAGGGCGCGAAGTTATTCGCGCTTCGCGCTTCGTGGTCCTGTTTCCTTCTCCCCCTCCTCCTCGTCCTCTTTTCTCCCTTTGGGGGGGGCGGCGCGAGAGCGCGAAGTGATTCGCGCTTCGCGGAGCGCGAAGCGCGAAGTTGGGAGCCCTAGTTCGTTCCCATAGCTCTCAGGACCGACGCCTTGGGGACCGATGCCTGCATACCCCGAGGCCAGAACATAGAATCGAGACGGCAAGCCCCCCCCATCGTAGAAGTACGCAGGTCGTAGGCGAATACGTGCTGGTATGCACCGCCATCATATCGTGTCGTTCCATGAGTTCCCGCATCTGCTGCCCCGCGCCACACACCATACGTTCCTGGGTACACGCCTCCACATCTGGAGTAACCAAGTCCGTCCAGTGGTCGTCCTGCCAAGTGGTCCCCATACCGTCGTTTAGATCAGCACATATTATTGGCGCAAAGCGGGTGGGTAACGCATCCAATACCGTCCATAGCCATCGAGTGAGTAGGGCCACCGTCTTGCAAAATGTATTTCGCTGGTGTCACAAGTTCGGGCGGGGAGGGAAGTAGATAGTAATCGGGCAAACATCCACACGTCCTCGCTTCAGGCGGGCAGCCAGGTATCTGCTTGCAGCCTCGGGCGGGCTTCCCCAACGTCGATAGATATCAGACTCCTGAAAGGACCCATTCAGCACAATTGTACACCCGCAGCTGTTGTTACTGTGCCCCTGTGGCCTGTGCGGGGCCTTCAAGACAGTGCGGCCTCCTACACGTCGTTCTAACACACCAGCACCCCCAGGCGATCACCACAGTTCGTGCCACATAATGAGATACAATCGAAATTCCCCACCTCCAAACATATTTCTTCTAGTCGATCGTCCGTCGCCCAGGGGGGGTTATAGCCTAAGCATCTAAGCATACAACAAGGGAGTACAGTAAGGAGAGTGGAAGGTGAGTGTGACATGCCCCCGCCAGCCAGGCCGATTCTGGAGGAAGGGGTGGCACCCTAACCATGGACGGAGTGTCCTCCAGTCTTGCCCGTGGCTGAAGCCTGAGCCTCGGGGGCTTGGAACACGAAGAGGAAGAGGATGAAGCGGGTAGAGGAGGGAGCGGGCAAAGAAGGAGAGGAGGAGATGGATTAAGAGGAGGGAGGTTATTCAATTAGCAGGGAAAATAACAGGAGGAGGCGGAGGCGGAGGCGGAGGCGGAGGAGGCTGAGGAAGGAAGAGGATCAGGAGGATCAGGAGGAGCAGGAGCAGGAGGAGAAGGTGGAGGCGGAGGAGGAAAAGGAAGAGGAGGAGGAGGACGATAAGGAGGAGGAGAAGGAGGGCGACAGCTGCCACAGGCCCTTGGCGTGCAGATCGAAGACTGCGGCGGCCATTGGGTCCTGCCTGCGCCGGGTAAGACATTCGAGGCCGGCGCCCGCTTTCGTGCCACGAGGGACTGGGCAGCACGTGACGGGGAGAAAGGGAAACGACAGGAGGGGAGAGGAAGGGTGCAGCGATGGCGAGGGGAGGAGAGAGTGAGAGGAGGAGGAGATGGAGGAGGAGGAAGAGAAAATGGTTTGAGGAGGTGGTTGGAGGAAAAGAGATAGTTATTGCTCTCTCCCCGCTCGGTCTTTCTGCTAGCCGCCGCCCGCCGACGCCGCTCCGCAGTTATCAAGGACCAAACAGAGACACATGTTGCGCGTGCGCTCAGGGAAACGGCTGAGATAGAAGTTCGCGTCACATTCGTTCTCTCTTTCGTTGCTCTTCTACCCTGTTCCTGTACGTTCGAACACAAAGCTTGACGGATTCATCATGCACCATGGTACCCGTTTCGCACAGTAATACACCAGTACCGTTTAATCCCACTGTCGCTGGGAATAACGATGTTTTGGCAAATGATTTGTTTCCAGTCGAAAGTCTTCTTGATGGACCAGATGCGTTGACGACTGCAGCCAATTCTAGAAACGCGATTGCTCATCTGGAAGATGCTCATGCTCTTATCACGGGCCCGATCATGGATGACTTGATTTACGTTCCCCTTGGTGTGCAACATTTCGCGCTACTTGGCAGCCCATGTGTTCCTACATCGGATGGGCTTCGATGTTGGCGCAGCCGGCGGATGAGGGATCTGGCATGGCACGTGATATATCTGCGATTTTGGAAGATGTAGATGTTAGTATTGATATTTCGCCCATTCAAAGCAGAGCGGCTCCCATCGTTTCCCAGGCCGACCACGAAGGAAATTGCGGGGGGAATCCATGGGCCGAAGCGTCATAAGGCACCCGAGGATGATGCAATGGGTGAGGGTTCCCCAATCGGGTCCCTGTTGAGAGTCAGAGCCACAGGCCATTGCAAACCACATGTGCATCTCACCGTAATGGTGGAAGGGGAAGGGGATCCCCATCAGGGTCGCATGCGGCATCCAGATTGCGTCCTAGATCGAGGAGCAGTCTGGGATCCAGTGGAACGTTTCCAACAAACATCTCAGTTAAGGGTGGATGCTGGGCCACAAGGCCAGGATGCTATCCTACGGCTGAGAACAGATGCCTAAGGAAGGCATATAGACCAGAGGGATCGTGCCAGAGGCCCGTATGTGCAGGATGCCCACACACTTGTTAATGTTGCAACTTTAGCTGGCTTTAACTGGATTTGCTTTGAATGCCTGGACATGGATAGCACATTTTCCACCGCCTCCCATGGTTGGAACGACAACAGGCAGAGGCAGAGAAAAAGGCTAGCAAATGGGAGAGAGTTATGCGAAGAACTAACCGCGAAGGTGCCTATTTTTTGGGCTGAAGAGGATGAACATATTCGTAAAGTACACACTGAATAGGAGTCCTTTCAACAAACGGCCCGACAGGCACAACTGAGCCAATGTGTCGTTTCGGAAGCAGCCCATAGATCGATGTCAGAGGCTGAGCAAAGCAACAAAGGAGTTTGAATAGCTAGCCGAGTGGAAGCTCTGGTAAACGAGAAAACGAGAGACATAATACATGGTTGCGAAAGACACGAATGCAACAGCCGGTGCACATTGCCGAGCAAGGGGCAATACAATTTCACAGGTCGGCAGGAAACGCCATACAGGAAAAAGAGACACAGGCCGCTGACATGATACAGCATGCGAGAGAAGAAATCATACCGATTATGCAACATATGAGCACTCAGGAACAGCATGCCGTCAATCGAACAGAACAGGCGAAGACGGAACTGCAACTGGTTTGTGAGGACCTCGCACGTCAGGGGGAAACAAAGAATCGTGGAATAACGCTTCGTGAATCTGGCAGCGCAGCTAAGCTTGGCAGCGAGAACACGCCAGCGGCGCCTCAGACAAGACACGTGATGCGAAGTGATCCTCTCTTGGCCCCGTCTGCCACGATGACGCAGACGGTGCGTCCTCCTCGGGGGACGGCAGGTCGAGTGGAGCGGTGACCGACTGGGGCTCAGCTTCCGGGGCCGAGAACTCTTTCCCACCGTGCTCCTGAGACTGGACCGCAATGGCGTGTCGCCGCGGCTTGAGGGCAATCCGAGGGCGTGCCACTTCTGCAGGAGTCCCAAGACAACAGAGTCTACGCGATGCTCTAATCCATGTTGCAATTACCACCTAGATTACGTGACGAGACGCTGCAACCACTGCGAGCGAATCAAAGCGGAGGCCGAGGCGGACGCAGAGAGAGGACGCCAGGAAGAAGAACGCTCGCGTCCGCAACAGTGGGGAGAACAGGTGCGCATGGCTAGTTTCATCAAAGAAGGAAAAACATGTGGATGATAATACGAGCGCGATGTATGAACCAATGCTAAGCGTGCTGAACCAATGTGAACGCGTCAAGACCGTCCGACTGCATAGAATTGGAACATTATTCAGGACAGCCGGGGAAACCCTTTCGGGAGATCCCGACGTTCCCCAGATTTCTCAAACCGTCACAAGAATCCTCTTACACATTGCTTACCAAATTGGAAGATCCCTCCGGTCCAACACCTTCCGATGGCTCAGCTGGAGGAGCGGTGGCGGGAGTGGGCCCTGCGGCAATGGTTGGAGATCAAGTTGATGCCAGTCCCTGATACGACCGCCCCGTGGGAGTGGAAACTGCATGCAACCAGGGTAATATCATCAACCTAGTCCGATGCTCCAGTCACTGCGCCGTGGATCGCACAGGCGCTGGCCCTTGAGGTGCATGCGAAGATGTTGCAGAAACCTGGCAAATATGAGCGCCTTGACATGCTCGTCGCATCTGACCTCAAGGAGAAGTTTGCGAATATGAGAGAGAAGAAGGTATCGCCTCCTCACCAGGTCCATTTCATAGTTCAGGTGTCTCGCGTGGAAGTTGAGGCACATGACAAACATCGTTGGCTTACTGGCCGCGAAACGATGGGTCAAATATGTCGGTGGCTCTCCATCCACGCCGAACAGGCAGGAATATTACAGCGAAGGACATTTTCAATGTCGTCCTTCACAACATCAAGACATATGAAGACCTACATCATGTTTACAACGAGTGGGTGGCTCTGCATATAGACTTGCACGGTAGCTCTGGCCCATCTCCGAATGTCGCGGCTTCTATTCATGGGCACTTCTACGAACGAATGGAGAATAGGGTATGGGGGTTAAGTTCGGACAGTGCGCGCGCGTTTGCATCGTTGCCTGGCCCCCCCCAGACCCCTCCAAAGTAGGATAGGGCAGGTCGAACGACGGACCTATCAAGAACGCAAGTGTACATTTTTGCGTCGCCCCCCAAACCCCAGCGAAGATGGGGTCAGGCAGTGAGTCGGAAGACAGACAAGTCACGAACGAATGCAAACATACACCCGAGACGCGCCCCCCCAGAACGCACGGGGGAGGGATGAGGTGGCGGGTCGAAGAGCAGACAAATGATGATGCAAGGTTGCATTCTTGCCCAGCCCACCAGCGCCCGTGGAAAAGGATAGGACAGCGGGCCGAAGGACGGACGCATCAGCCATGCAGGCTGGCCCTGCTGCATCCCGGCCGAGGGCGCCCAGCCGTTCCGCCAGCAGACCACGCCGGGTCGGCCCTCGGCGCCCCGCCGTGGCCTCCGTGGGGCACGCCCGGGGTCCGCCTGCCCGGCCTCCTCGGGGCCCCTCTCCGGGCTCTCTTGTTTTTTTGGGGGGAGGGGGGGCATGTCTGTTGGTGACGTGTTGAGGCAGGGGCCCTTTCTGAGCTTGTTCGTGAGTGTTGTCTTGGATGCGTGCTGTGCGGTGGCGACTGTTTCTCCAGCAGGCACCGATTATCGGCACATGCTCGCGCCAGGGCATCTGGTTGGCACAGCGGGGTCCCATCCGTGCCTTTCCGTCCTGCCCATCAAGAGCAATTGACAGTTCAGGTTTGTCCTTTCAGTGTGGGCGTTTTGTGGTCGACGCTGCAAAATGCGCAGGAGGAATAGGACGGGGTGCAGATGGCGTGCGGAAAGGCGACGTGCAGAGGATCGGGCGGCCGGGCCTCGGTGCGCAGACCGGCCCGCAAGGATCTGTGCGTGGGCGCGTGGGCCGACAAGGCGCGGCCGTAGCCCGGCGCGCCCTGGGCCTCCCCCTGCGCTGCGGACTCGGCGCCGCGATGATTTTGCATGAGGATCGAGCTGCCGGTTGGGGCGCGGCGCGCATTTCTGGCCCGCCAGGCCGTCGACGCTCGAGCCGACGAGCCTGCGGCTCCCGCCCCCGCGCAGCGCTCATACTCGTCACTCGCCAAGCCGTGCGGGGGCGGGGCCGCGCGCGAGCGGGCGACGCGTCGCCTCCCGCATGTTCCGTTCGTCGGGTCGCCGGAGCGGGGTGTTGTCATCGCGCAGGCGCCGCGCAGCCTCTGCGCGGAAGTGGCCGTGCCGTCTCGGCGCGGTGCGCGCTCGGTCTCCGCCGCGCTCGTCGGGAGTATGGCCGTCTGGGAGGAAGCCAGATGGTGCTCTTGTCGCAGCGCCGTGCGAGGATCTTCGGGAGTTCCGTTGCCGCTTCTGTCCCCTTGCCGCCGAGCTGTCAGAAGCGGGGTCGTGCGCGAGCCTTTTCCGCTCGTTCGGCGGGAGCGCGTGCAAGGCCCACCATCCAAGGCGTGCCACCAGCAGTCTGCTGTGTGGGCGGGCCGTCGGGAATGGGCGGAGGCCCGCTGGCCCGTTCGACCTGGCTAACTTGATACCCTCCTGTTCTTCCTCATCGTGGTGCTGCTCTTCCTTTCCAGCTAGCTGCTGCTGCTGCTGCTGTTCCTCCTGCTCCTTCCTCCGCATGCTCACATTACTACTCCAGTTTCTGCTCGCCGTCATCTTCGTCGTCCTTTCCCCCCCCCCCCCCCTGGAGGAATTCGGTGTGCTGCCGCGGTACGCAATGGACAGCCTCGCCGAGCACAACATCACGTCCCCGATGCCGGTCCAGGAAGGGCCCAGCGTTTCCATGTCTCCTTCCATCTCTTCCCCCTCCCCTCCCCTCCACGAAGTGGACCAACGAGCCTGATGTCCCAATCGCTTGATTCGACTCGATTATTCCTCCTGGTCCTCGTCCTGCTCCTCATCCTCTTTGTCCTCCTTGCCATCCTTTTCCGCCTCTTCTTTATCTCCGTCGCAGTCCTCTGTTTCCCCTGTAGCCGCGGGATTTCCATGAGAATTGACGGGGAAAGGGAAGAACAGACACATGAGTGAAACTATGCGGGGAACTTGGGTGAACAGACAGATCTCTGATAGCAAGGGGTTGGCCTTGGAGAGTCTCTTCGGGCCATCCCTGGGGCCCATGTGGGGGCGAGGGAAGGAGGAGGCGGAGGAGGAGGACGACGACGACCACGACGACGAGGAAGAGGAGGGAAAGGAACAGGAAGACGATGAGGGCGAGGATGAGGACGAGGAGGAGGAGGAGGAGGAGGACAACGAGGACGTGGACAGTGCCTTCAAAATCGCCTCCCTTGGAGCCCTCTTGGGACTCTTTTAGGGGTTCTTGGGGTCCTCTTGAGGCTCGTGGGTTGCTCACCCCCTGGTGCCATCAACATCGCCTCTTGGTGCACTCTTGTGCCGCTCTTGGGGCCGTCTGGGGGGCCTCTTTGGTCCCTCTTGGACCTGTCTTGGGCCATCGCATCGGAGGCGAAACGGCGAGAAGGTACAACTCATCGATTTCCCTTAGGCCTTTGAAGGCTGTTGCCCTCTTGGGAAGTCGTGAGGGGGCTCCAAGAGCACTTGGAACCGTCTTGTGGCCCTCGTCGGGCCTCCTGGATGTATGTCGGAAGCTATCTTGAGCCATTTTGGTGACCATTTGACAGCATCTGAGGTCCTCTTGGAGCCATCTTGAGCGCCCTAACCGATCGCAGAACCCCAAAAACAACCTCAGGGAGGGGGGGTAAACCTCCCGACGGGTAAGAGTTTTTTTTGGGGGGGGAAACAATACATATATCGCTAGACCACCTTAGCCAAAAAGGCTGGCGGGATTATCAGCTTGCCTGGCTCATGCACAGCGCCATCCAGTTGCGCGGGCCCTCTCTTCGCCAACTTGTCGCCCGAGTTTCCCGCGGGTTTCCTCGCTCCACATTGGCCTCCAAATGCAATTCATGCATCTCTCTCTCTCTCTTTTTCCCCAAACAGCTTGCTGAACGGGGTGCTGTTGTGATAGAAGCTAACTCCGGCCGAGGGAAGTCGGAGCAGAGACATCCTCACAAAAATTTGATGGTCCGGGCCGTTTCGCTTGAGCCATCCTCACGACTCTCGTTTCTGAGTTGGCCGGGATTGGCCGTTTCGCCTGAGACATCCTCGAAAAGTTGCGCTCCGGGACGCCGCGCGAGAGGTGGTCCGGGCCGTTTCGCTTGAGACATCCTCGAAGCTCTGAGCCCCGAGGTGCCGTGCGAGAGGTGGTCCGGGCCGCTTCGCCTGAGACATCCTCGAAACTCTGAGCTCTGAGATGCCTTGCGCGAGGTGGTCTCGCCCGTTTCGCCTGAGACATCCTCGAAACTCTGACCTCGGATATGCCGCGCGAGAGGTGGTCCGGCCCGTTTCGCCTGAGACATCCTCGAACTTCTGAGCTCTGAGATGCCCTGCGCGAGGTGGTCCGGCCCGTCTCGCCTGAGACATCCTCGCAACTCTGAGCTCTGAGATGCCGTGCGCAAGGTGGTCCGGCTTGTTTCGCACAAGACATTCTCGCAATTATGAGCTCCAGATACCGTGCAAGAGGTGGTCCAGCCTGGGGGCCCAGAAGACCACATGTTGAAGACCACATGTTACATATCCTCCCTGGGACCCTGGGAGCCCGCCTGAGACATCCTCGAACTTCTGAGCTCTGAGATGCCCTGCGCGAGGTGGTCCGGCCCGTCTCGCCTGAGACATCCTCGCAACTCTGAGCTCTGAGATGATGCCGTGCGCAAGGTGGGGCGGCCTGTTTCGCACAAGACATTCTCGCAATTCTGAGCTCCCAGATGCCGCGCAAGAGGTGGTCCAGCCTGGGGGCCCAGAAGACCACATGTTACATATCCCCCCTGGGAGCCCCAGGAGGCCCCAGGAGGCCCCAGAGAGTTCCAGGAGGCCGCAGGACGCCCAGGACAGGCCCCAGGGGTCCCCAGGAGATTCCCAGGAGGCTCCCAGGAGGCCCCAGGAGGCCCCCTATCAGAACGTGTCAAGTTAATACAAATCCGGTGTTGATTCGTTGATTTTTCCTGCTCTTGTGCCCCCCCTCCACTTTGAGGGGCCCAAGCGGCCACAGGTTAGATATCCCCCCTGGGAGCCCCAAGAGGCTTCAGGAAACCCCAGGTGGAGTTCAGGAGGCCACAGGAGGCCCAGGAGGAAGCCCCAGGAGGTCCCCAGGAGGCCCCAGGAGGCACCAGGACGCCCCCGCAACTCGGAGCTCTGAGACGCCGCGCTCGAGGTGTCCCAGCCCGTTTCGCCTGAGACTTCCTCGCAGCACGTTTCGCCCGAGACACCGGCCCGTCTCGCCTGAGACATCCTTGCAGCTCTGAGCTCTGAGATGCCGTGCGCAAGGTGGTCCGGCCTGTTTCGCACAAGACATTCTCGCAATTCTGAGCTCCCAGATGCCGCGCAAGAGGTGGTCCAGCCTGGGGGCCCAGAAGACCACATGTTACATATCCCCCCTGGGAGCCCCAGGAGGCCCCAGAGAGCTTCAGGAAGCCGCAGGACGCCCAGGACAGGCCCCAGGGGTCCGCAGGAGATTCCCAGGAGGCTCCCGGGAGGCCCCAGGAGGCTTCCTATCAGAACGTGTCAAGTTAATACAAATCCGGTGTTGATTCGTTGATTTTTCCTGCTCTTGTGGCCCCCCATTTTGGGGGGCCCCGACGGCAACATGTTAGATATCCCCCTGGGAGCCCCAAAAGGCTTCAGGAAGCCCCAGGTGGCGTCCAGGAGGCCACATGAGGCCCAGGAGGAAGCCCCAGGAGGTCCCCAGGAGGCCCCAGGAGGCCCCAGGAGGCCCCCGCAACTCGGAGCTCTGAGACGCCGCGCTCGAGGTGGCCCGGCCCGTTTCGCCTGAGACTTCCTCGCAGCACGTTTCGCCCGAGACATCGTCACACCTCTGGGGTCCGAGATGCCGCGCGCGAGGTGGTCCAGCCCGCTACGCTGGAGACATCCTCGCAACTCTGGGCTCCGAGATGCCCTGCGCGAGGTGGTCCGGCCCATCTCGCCTGAGACATCCTCGCAGCTCTGAGCTCTCAGATGCTGCGCAAGAGGTGGTCCAGCCTGGGGGCCCAGAAGACCACATGTTACATATCCCCCCTGGGACCCTGGGAGCCCCAGGAGGCCCCAGAGAGCTTCAGGAGGCCGCAGGACGCCCAGGACAGGCCCCAGGGGTCCGCAGGAGATTCCCAGGAGGCTCCCAGGACGCCCCAGGAAGCCTCCTATCACAACGTGTCAAGTTAATACACATCTGGTGTCGATTTGTTGATTTTTCCTGCTCTTGTGGCCCACCCATTTTGGGGGCTCCCCGACGGCCACATGTTAGATATCCCCCCCCTGGGAGCCCCAAGAGGCTTCAGGAAGCCCCAGGTGGGGTCCAGGAGGCCACATGAGGCCCAGGAGGAAGCCCCAGGAGGCCCCTGCAACTCGGAGCTCTGAGACGCCGCGCTCGAGGTGGTCCGGCCCGTTTCGCCTGAGACTTCCTCGCAGCACGTTTCGCCCCAGACATCGTCGCAACTCTGGGGTCCGAAATGCCGCGCGCGAGGTGGACCAGCCCGCTACGCTGGAGACATCCTCGCAACTCTGGGCTCCGAAATGCCCTGCGCGAGGTGGTCCGGCCCTCTCCTGAGACATCCTCGCAACTCTGAGCTCTGAGATGCCGTGCGCAAGGTGGGGCGGCCTGTTTCGCACGAGACATTCTTGCAACTCTGAGCTCTCAGATGCTGTGCAAGAGGTGGTCCAGCCTGGGGGCCCAGAAGACCACATGTTACATATCCCCCCCCCCCTGGGACCCTGGGAGCCCCAGGAGGCCCCAGAGAGCTTCAGGAGACCGCAGGACGCCCAGGACAGGCCCCAGGGGTCCGCAGGAGATTCCGAGGAGGCTGCCAGGAGGCCATAGGAGGACCCCTAGCACAACGTGTCAAGTTAATACACATTCGGTGTCGATTCGTTGATTTTTCCTGCTCTTGTGGCCCCCCCCCCATTTTGGAGGCGCCCCGACGGCCACATGTTAGATATCCCTCCCTGGGAGCCCCAAGAGGCTTCAGGAAGCCCCAGGTGGGGTCCAGGAGGCCACAGGAGGCCCAGGAGGAAGCCCCATGAGGTCACCAGGAGGCCCCAGGAGGCCCCAGGAGGCCCCCGCAACTCGGAGCTCTGAGACGCCGCGCTCGAGGTGGTCCGGCCCGTTTCGCCTGAGACTTCCTCGCAGCACGTTTCGCCCCAGACATCTTCGCAACTCTGGGGTCCGAAATGCCGCGCGCGAGGTGGTCCAGCCCGTCACGCTGGAGACATCCTCGCAACTTTGGGCTCCGAGATGCCGTTCGGGATGAAGAGGAGGTGGAGGAGGAGGAGGAGGATGAGGAGGAGGAGGAGGAGGAGGAGGAGGAGGAGGAGGAGGAGGAGGAGGGTGGAGGAGGAGGAGGAGGAGGAGGAGGAGGAGGAGGAGGAGGAGGAGGCATGTTTCAACATGCCATGCCAGCCCGCACTGGACGGGCACGCAATCGCCCTTGGAAGCCGCAGTGGGTCTAAAAACCCTGTTTGGGGATACTGCACTCCGGCTATAATTATCTCTCTCTTTCTCTCTCTCTCTCTCTCTTTCACCCTCTCTCTCTGGAGGCTCAGGCGCTGCCCCTGGTGCTGTCTGGTCTCAACGTCATCGGCCTGGCGGTGACGGGGAGCGGGAAGACGCTCGCGTTTTTGCTGCCCGCGGTGGTGCACATCGAGGATGGAACTTGGGGGATTGAGGAGGAGGAGATGAGGGGTGGAAGTGCAGGAGGACGGGGAGGAGAAGGGGAGGGAGTGTTGTGGAGGAGGAGGCGAAGGGTGCAGGAGGGGATCGAGGAGGAGGAGGAGGTGGAGGAGGAGGCGGATGATGCAGGAGGGATTTTGGAGGGAGGAGGGTAAAAGAAGGGGAGCATGAGGTGGGAGGTGGGTGTTTGGAGGGAGGACGGAGATCGGAGGAGAATTTACAACATCAGAATCAGACTCGAACTCGAGGAAACGGTATGCGCCGACAAGACATGAAAGCGCACAGTACCGAATGAGCAAGAAATACTGCGCAAGCGCTGATGTGCACGTTCTCTTCACGGGCGCCGCGGGGAGCCAGCGTGCTTCATGCGCTCCGGCGCCACCGCTGAGCCCGTTGAGGGCCGTCCTCTGGGGCGCTTCCAGGCGTCCTATCTTGTCCTGCCCTCCCCACCTTTCGGGTGTTGCTAGAAGTACCCCTGGCCCAAGGTACCCCCAGGATTCTCGGGGTGGCCCAGACGGCCTCCAGGGCACCCCTCACGAGGCCCAGAGGGCCCCGGGGGCTCCCAAATGGAGCGGAAAGCTGGGGGTCCCTTGGGCCTGGGGCACTTCTAGCAACACCCGAGCCCACCTCCGAGGACCAGCCCCCCATAAAGAAGGGCGACGCCACCCCGATCGCGCTGGTGCTTGCGCCCACGCGCGAGCTGGCTGCGCGGGCCTCTGTGCGCGCCGCGGGCCAGCGGTCCACGGCCTTTTTCCCTCCCCCTGCTCCCCTCTCTTCCTTGGCCCTTTCCTCCCCATTCCGACCAGTCCCCCTCCACCACAATGCTTTCCTCTCCTTCCCGACTGCGCCTTGAGAGTAGCCGCCCCCCCTCCGCATTCGTTTTTTCTGCACACACCTGCGTTTTTCGCGGGCGAGCTTTCCCTGTGTGTTTTCTTCTCAATTCGATCGGCTGTGCTCCTTCCAAATGGTGCTCTTGCTGCAGCGTGGGCCTCATTTTCGGGTCGGAGCTGTGCTCCCGCCGTTCAGAACGGCGCTCCCGCCCCAGCGTGGACAATTTTCAGGATCCCACATTTCTCGTAGGTCCCACAGGTCTCGCAGGTCTTCCAGGCCCCACAGGTCCCACAGGACTCACAAGTGTCGCAGGTCGTCCCACAGGTCCCATAGGTACCACCGGTCTGACAGGTTCCACAGGTCCCACAGGCGTCGCAAGTCTCGCATGCCCCACAGGTCCCACCGGTCCGACAGGTCCCGCAGGTCCCACAGGTCCTAGGGGTGTCGCATGTCTCACAGGTCCCTCGGGTCCCACAAGTCCCGCAGGTCCCACGGATGTCGCATGTCCCACAGGCCCCACAGGCCACAGAGTTCCTCCAGATCGCACATGTCCCACAGATTTCGTTTTTCTGGCTTCGCATAACACCATGGAGTCTTTTTGTGGAGTTCCAGGTCGGCTATGACATGCAAAGGCAGCAAGGCAGCGCAGTGGGAAGGGATGGGAGGGAGGGACATCATGTCAGACATGGCGCGAGCGTGCCCAGCTTGGCCCTCCCCCTCCCCCCTCGCTTCCTCTGCTCCGGCCCCTCCTCCCCGCTCCGACCCACGTCTTGCTTCCCCCGCCCCTCCCTCCCTCGGCCCTGGCTGCCGCCGACCGCCTGCTGGCTCGAGGGCCAGGACAGCCGACCGGCCGTGGGGTCGACGCCGCGGCGGCGAGGCGGTGCGGAGAAGGCGGGGCCGAAGGGCTTTGCTGCCTGGCAACCCTGAGGCCCTGGCGCTAACTGCAGGAACTTCACAGCAGGCGTCCTCGCCTGGTTTCGGGCCCCGGGATCCTCGCGGATCGAGCCAGCTCGAGGAAGGACGCAGAAAGATGGGGTCCAGGGCTCTGGTCGTGCTTCTGTTCGCGATGCTGATTGCTTTGTAACGTTTACCAGGGAAGGGGTCGCGGCTGCCTGTTGTGCTTCATCCGCTTCCCGTTCAGGTGGCAGGTTCTGCTGCTCCCGCTTCCGCTCCTGCCAGTGCCGCTTTCTCCCTCCCTCCTCCTGCCAGTGCCGCTTTCTCCGCTTCTCCCCTCCTGCTGCCTCCCTCCCCCTTGCCTCTCGCCCCATCAATCCCTCCCGTGAGAGGGAGGTGGACGGACGTGCGGGTGGACAGGCGTTGGGGCGTGCGGGGGTTGGGAGGGCGAGTGGATGGCGGGAGCGATCACGATGAGTTTGGTGACCCTCTGGTGTACGTGTTGCCTCATTTGTGTGGTGGCGAACTTCCGAATACGATTTCGCCGATGACACGTTTGCATTAGCGGTATTCCTTGGGATTGACAGGGTCGGTCGGAATTATCTTGGCGAAGGACCCAACCATATGCAGTTGTGAGTAACGCGTTGGTGCCGCATTGGGTAGAGCTCCCCATGGGGCCACGAAACGGGTGAGGGACGTGCCGTAATGGGTGGGGGAGACACATGCGGGGGGTGCCATTTGGGCCTTCGGTGGGGCCCCCTATGGGCTACGAAACGCTGCCCTGGGTGTGGCGGACGCATGTGGCCACCCCCATTGGGGCTTTGCGTGGAGCTCCCTATGGGGCCACGGAACGTTGCACTGGGTGTGGCGGACGCATGTGGCCCCCCCCACTGGGGCCTTGCGTGGAGCTCCCTATGGGGCCAGGAAGCTGCACTGGGTGTAGCGGACGCATGTGGTCGCCCCCACTGGGGCCTTGGGTGGTGGTTCCTGTGGGGCCACGGAACGCTGTACTGGGTGTGGCGGACGCATGTGGCCACCCCCACTGGGGCCTTAGGTGGAGCTCCCCATGGGACCACGAAGCGCTGTACTGGGTGTGGCGGACGCATATGGCCTCCCCCATTGGGGCTTTGCGTGGAGCTCTCTATGGGGCCACGAAGCGCTGTACTGGGTGTGGCGGACGCATGTGGCCATCCCCACTGGGGCCGCAGATGAAGCTCATTATGGGGCCACGAAGCGCTGCATTGGGTGTGGCGGACGCATGTGGCCACCCCCACTGGGGCCTTAGGTGGACCTTCCTATGGGGCCACGAAGCGCTGTACTTGGGTGTGGGTGACGCTTGTGGCCACCCCCGCTGGGGCCGTAGGTCGAGTTCTCTATGGGGCCACGAAACGCTGTACTGGGTGTGGCAGACGCATGTGGCCACCCCCTTTGGGTCCTCTGGTTGAGCTCCCCATGAGGTCAGGAAACGCTGTACTGGGTGTGGCGGACGCATGCGCTCCACTGGGGCCTTCCGTGGAGCTCCCCATGGGGCCACGAAGCGAAATATTGGGTGTGGTGGACGCATTTGGCCACCCCCACTGGGGTCGCAGATGGAGCTCCCTATTGGGCCACGAAGCGCTGCACTGGGTGTGGCGGACGCATGTGGCCTTAGGTGGAGCTCCCTATGGGGCCACGAAACGCTGTATTGGGTGTGGCGGACGCATGTGCCCCCCCCACTGGGGCCTTAGGTGGAGCTCCCTATGGGGCCAGGAAGCGCTGTACTGGGTGTGGCGGACGCATGTGGCCAGCCCCCCTTGGGGCCTTAGGTGGAGCTCCCTATGGGGCCACGAAGCGCTGCACTGGGTGTGGCGGACGCATGTGACCCCCCCCACTGGGGCCTTAGGTGGAGCTCCCCATGGGGCCAGAAAGCGCTGTACTGGGTGTGGCGGACGCATGTGGCCACCCCCACTTGGGGCCTTAGGTGGAGCTCCCTATGGGGCCACGAAGCGCTGTACTGGGTGTGGCGGACGCAAGTGGCCACCCCCACTTGGGGCCTTAGGTGGAGCTCCCTATGGTGCCACGAAGCGCTGTACTGGATGTGGCGGACGCATGTGGCCACCCCCACTGGGGCCGCACAAGGAACTCCATATGGGGCCACGAAGCGCTGTAGTGGGTATGGCGGACGCATGTGGCCACCCCCACTGGGGCCTTAGGTGGAGCTCCCTATGGGACCACGAAACGCTGTACTGGGTGGGTGAAACGCAAGGAGGAAGGAGGAGGGGGAGGAGGAGGAGGAGGAGGGGGAGGAGGGGAGGAGAGGAGAGGAGAGGAGAGGAGAGGAGAGGAGAGGCGGGGCGCGGTGACCGACTCTTCAAAACGAGGACCAAACACCACATAATGGTTGGGAAGAAGAGGGTGGAGTGGAGATGGAGAAAAGAGAGGAGAAGGATGAGCTAGGGGCGGGCACGCCATGCCTGTCATCTCACCCTCCCACCCATCCACTGCGCTGAATTCTTCTCAATTCCGCTGACTGATTTGTCCCAGAGGTCCCTGATCCCCAAATGGCCCCATCGTGCGGTGCGCAATCATAAACATGCGGGGCTTCGTACACTGGAGAGGGAGGAGCTGGCCGATGAGCAGGAGGAGGGGGAGGAGGGGGAGGAGGAGGAGGAGGAGCAGGACGAGTAGGAGGAGAAGACGGAAGATAATGATGATGACGAGTGAGGAGGAGGAGGAGGAGGAGGAGGAGGAGGAGGAGGAGGAGGAGGAGGAGGAGGAGGAGGAGGAGGAGGAGGAGGAGGAAGAGCAGGAGCAGGAGCAGGAGCAGGAGCAGGAGCAGGAGCAGGAGCAGGAGCAGGAGAAGCAGGAGAAGTAGGAGGAAAGTGACGAGCAGGAGGACCAGGGGAAGGCAGAGACGGGGAAAGGACGGGGCCGGCAACGACGAGGAAGGTGTATCCCGCGCTGGGATGGAGCGCCATTGTGAACAATGGGAGCAAAGCGCCGATCCCGAAATGTGGTCTTCTGACCTCTTGATAATGCGGGCCCACATCTGAGCGTGCATGCGCCCTAGTCGCGCCCTCACTGGGAGTTGCTAGGGGGGGGCCGAGTCGCAACGAATGAAAACTGTGAGGAGGACGGGCTCCTCCCTCCTCCTCCTCCTCCTCCTCCTCCTCGCTGCTGCTCCCTCTCCTCCTACATTACTGCTCCTCGTTGAGGTC